ACTGAATAGTGGGTTGTGTGTCAGTCGATGTCGGACATTAAAGTATGAGCCCCACAACTAGATTGCTGCGTCATTAACTATATTTCAAGTTCTTAATGTTTGTACGTCGAACCTAATTTAGGACCGACTGAGTGAAATACAAGCCTCCACTGTGAAAACTACTCTATAACAGATTGATATCTGACTCATAGCTTTTTGTCCTCTATCCTCATAAGAAATAAATTATATGTAAGGTAATGGGAAGGAAGTCAAAGCTGTGAAGTAGACAGTCAAACTACTATTGGTTTTCTATACCCCTTTTTCTAAATTGACTCTTTTCTGCTCTTATAATATGTAATATAGACAAAAAAGGAATAAATTGATTGAATCAATAGATACTTCATGTTATATTCAAAGACATAAGCCTCTAATAACTATCAACACTTGTCATAAACTAATGTCACGTGTCCTGGGGAAATGCGTGGTGATTATATGGAGAGCGTTGATAACATTAGTCAAAGACAAGACAAGAAAAGATTGATATTTACACTTAGTAAGTTGAATGCTAGAGATTGTGATTACTCTAGAAAAGTTGACTTGTTTAAGTAAAAACAGTTCAGATCTCACAACCTTTTTCTTTCTGTTGTGGTATGATCCACCTAATTTGCATAGTGGATTACCGACCATATAAATATGGTTGGTACCGGGAAGAGAGGAAGGAATCAAGAGATTCAACCAGAGACTCGGCCCGACTGGGACTCAGTCAACACATTCTCCACGAACAGTCTTACCAGGAATATACAAAAGACTATATGTAAATATTGTGTACACTTTCTTGTTTCAATACATTTTGTTCTAAGTACATTTTGTGTTGCATTATTATTCCATGCATTAGTCAAGTTTCAACACTTTCAAAGGACGCTTTTTTCACAAATGATAACTATTTACATTATTGACACGCGAAGTATTGCTTTTGTTCTTTGTTGTTGTTTTCACAACGATTTGGCCGTTGTAATTTCCGACCTTCATCAGGTGCTTGTCAATCCGGATAAATTTCAGGCAGTTTCGAATTGAACCCTTTATTTAATCTACGTGGTTAGATTGTTCTCATTCCGCTGTCAATGTCCACGTCCAGCAACATCTAATCTCGTTCTTATTTTATACTGCTCAGCTATCAGTTATTTATTTCCCAAGTAATTAATTGCTGAAACATAATTTCAAGCTGTATTTTAAATACCATAGGTTAGATGTATACACTGTTTTAAAATATTCTTCTTCTGCAACGAAACCTGTTTTAATTGCATAAATCTTATCAGCGCTGTAGTACGTACACCAAATTTTAATTTGTTTTAAATTTCTCTTTGAATCATTTCACCCCAAGGAAGGTGATAAAATCACAAAGACGCAAAGCGTTACCTAGAATGGAAGAAATTGGGAGAGGTTTTATAAAAGAGCAGAATTCAAGGTCCGGATGTTGACTGACATTATATTTAAATTCTTCAAGATCCGTAGTTGACAGAAAAAGCATGAAGTTGGAAGAAAGTTCCACAAGCGAGAAGTGCCGGTGAAAACTATTATCATAGAATTTCTAGCAATTTCCAGGGTGAAATTTTGAGACCTAACTATCAAACTAGTATTGTGTTCACATTCATAAAGTTGAGGTAGAAAGGATGAAAGAGAATCAGAACAATTACCATGAAACTATTTTTTGGAAAAGGCACAGAATGCTACGTTATGTCGGAGGAAAAGACAGATCAAGGCCGATAACATTGATGATTCTTTGTTGGAATCTGTCAAGAATCTCTAGATTGGAGAGGAATCATGTCAGCAATATTCCAAGGATTGATGAATGGTACACTGTCAGTGGGAAACGTGCATTAATTCGTTAAATTTCCTTTTCAAAATGCAGTCGTGCACTTATCGTGTCTTAAAATGTTGTAAACATTTTAACAACTGCAGAAAAATGTCAAGCATATATAGCCTTATTTCCATATAATAAACGCAAATACCTGTTTTTTTATAAGAAAATTCACAAATGATGTGATTTGAATGGATTCGATCTTTCAAACTTGGTCAGAATTCCGAACAAGAACGCTACCGATGCAATCGCAAAACTTTAAAATAACCTTTCTTACATTTCCTATTGCAAAATACAAAGCAATCTTTTGTTTGGGCTTCCAGGCAGTTCTTCATTCAATTACAACCGTGAAATGACGCGTCATTTACCAAAACAAAACTTCTCATGAAAATAATGGCTTGGCTCACATAATATCGGTCATCGTAAATGGGGAGTGTTGGTATGACGCCCCCAGCATAGGTCACAACTCTCGACCGCAAATCCTACTCATTCACTTGCGCGTTTTGGGAGAATAAAAAAATATAAGCGTTCAGACTTTAGCAGTGGCATAAATCCAGCCTAAAATAAGCAAAGTCTTCGCCTCCTGGGGGAAGGAAATGAAAAGTCCTTTTCCAACATTTTTACCAATAAACAAAACCAAAATAAGAAACTATTTTTTTCTGAGCTAACAATGATTTCATGACACTTTCCTGTCTCGAAAGTTATTGAATTCGGTCTTTTCGGTTACGTGTTACTAGGTAATTACTTCATATTAGAGAAAGTTTTTGTTAAAAAACTATTATGCCATGTGAAAAATACTATAGCCGTGTAATGTGTTGATCTCAAGTAAAAGTCGAGCGCTCTTCCTTAAGCGAGAAATTATGAACAGGAATATGCGGGTAGCGTAATGGCGAGGAAAGTGAAACCGGCAATCCGATTTCAAATTCCTGTCTAGTCTGTTAAGTTCAACATCGCTCAAATTCCCTTGTGTAAGGCATGAACCGATCTATTCTCTCTCGAGCTATAGGTTTCGAACTGGTGATATGAACTTTGCATGCTGAAGCTAAAAGGGCTGCGAACGCTTCACACTAAAACACTGTAAATCCTACTCAAATATATTCATGAAAATTTCGTTGTGTATACAGTTTACTTCTAACAGAATAAATCCTTGTTTTAAACTTTTTTTTGTTTATTTTGTTTTAATAAATGTTATCTTGCATTGCAAGACACTTGTTTTGTTATTTTGTGCATGTACTCTTTCTCGGCATCATTTTTAATGTGCTTCAAAATATCCCCATAAGAAACCTTAAACAATAATTACTGAAGTAGATAATCACTAAAATGTCTTATGTCTATCTGAACAGTAACCTGAAACTTACTCTGTCATTTCAAAAAACATTTTAAAATCTTTCTCTGTAAAGACTTCACTCAGCGATTCTTACAGATTTCTAGAGAATGAAGATTTTTTCCCTTCTGTCTATATTTTAAAGCCCTGAATAATAACTTGAAGGTGCAGCATCTCCTGAACTTCTGTGACAATATTTTACTGGTCTCTAAAGAAACTAGCCGAACTTATTGAACCTAAAGTTAAATCCTGATGGACTGTTACACGCTTTCTCTCAACTAATTCTGTTGTGACAGTGTTGAAACTTGACTAATGGATGGAATAATAATGCAACACAAAATGTACTTAGAACAAAATGTATTGAAACAAGAAAGTGTACACAATATTTACATATAGTCTTTTGTATATTCCTGGTAAGACCGTTCCTGGAGAATGTGTTGACTGAGTCGCAGTCGGGCAGAGTCTCTGGTTGAATCTCTTGATTCCTCCCTCTCTTCCCGGTACCAACCATATTTATATGGTCGGTACTCCACTATGCAAATTAGGTGGATCCTACCACAACAGACAGATATCATTATGCAATAAAACAGACAACATTTTAAAAGAGTAATAAACAATTTTACCGAAGAAATGAGAAAGGTGGAAAAACAGAGTGCTTAAAAGAGGTAACGAAGAGGAAATCATGTCTGTAATTAGAAATGTCTTGACATCTTAATATCTGATTGTTACTAATCAATAAACGAGTTCGGCAGCAGAAATCTTTATTTGGAAAACATTACATTTCTCTTGAATTCGTTATGAAATAAGTCTATAATAAACTTTCTGAATTTTTTAAAACCATAAGAATTACATACACTGAGATAGAAAAACAGGTAACAATTACAACGCCCTGAAGAACAAGAGCGATTTAAACCTGGATACAGGATATCCAGGCTAGTGCTTAGTAAATATTGTGATAAAATGGTCTCCATCATCTTTTAATAGAGCAAAGCTCATAACCGATTTATGTCTGAGCTTATATTTTCTGTCAGAAGTTTCAGGGGAATAAAGGCTTTCACTGCGGGAAGGTGGAATGCCACGAACATACACAAGTGGCCTTTTGTTCAAAGAAGTGCGGTGCTTCAATAGGGACCGACCGTGGGCTTTCGAGACGTCGGATGCTTATTTCACGGAATTGCTGCACATATTGAACATAGTAAGTCGTCAACCATGCATTCGACTACCCGTAGAATATGTTTTAGACGACCATGAAAAGTCGACAGAGGCAAATTGAACGGTGTCCAAAGTAGAAATCAGAATAAATGTTGGCCCAGATGTCTCACTACTGACCGTTTGGAATAATTAACTTAGAGCCGGACGACGGACACACATGCCTCCGGCCAGACCACTTTCGACACAACATCATTGGGCATATTTCCAGTAGTATTTCGCAAAGGGCCTCTGAGGGATAAAACGACGCTCTTTCGTGTTCAGGGAAAAATTACTCCTGCTTTAATGCGAATAAAAAGTAGCAGCAACATCTTCCCTTTGCATTTGTAACTCCCCATTACTTCGTCTTCATATTCATTGATTCATGTTGTACGGGTTATCAACCCGCTGCAGGCTATTTAAAGCCAGAAAATATTTTTAAATTGTAAGAATTTGGTGAGGGATAATAATGGTTTAGTGATACAAGATTGACTAATTAATCCATAGCTGGGAGGAGAAGAAGTGGATTGATACTTTCCCCAAGGGTATTTCTGCGTACGTGAATATAACTAGACCAACTGTAATTGGAACTCAGCCCTCCGATTAAGAATGCTGAGCCATTATCCATTACACCACCCACAAATCTAAGCTTACACTATCTGGTATTTCGAAGCATTCACCCATCTAGGTACTGACCAGGCTCGACGTAGCTTAACTTCTGTGATCGTACGGGAATAGGTATTTCAATGTAGATATGACTGTAAAACTCCTCATATTCAGCAATGGCACACAGACCTAACTCCCATCCTGCTCATGTGAGGTGCTATACATTACATCTCTTGCTTGCCTTTGGGAACGTTAACCATCGTTTTGCATTAATGTTCGTCCCCCAAGAGGAAAATAATGCGCAGTTGTTGTCGTATAATTCCCAACCATGCTAATCAGCACGTTGTGTAAGATATGCAACAACCTTTTTAGTCAGCAACAGCGCCCGGTATATTAGCCATTAATAATGTATGGCTAATATATATATGTATGGGGCATAATAGGTCACCATAGAGCAGCACAAAAACGTTGCACTGTAAGATTACATTTTATTTTCAGGCTCTTACAACGGCCTCGTAACGTTACAAGGTAATGTTCTAAATACAGTACCTACAACATTACATTGCAACCCTTCCTTTTTTAAAACTCTCCACAACAGTTAAAACGATGCAAAGAACATTGCTCAGTAGAGTCCACGTAGTACTGCTAGAATTTTTTTTAATCAAATTTGAAATGTTTCTGCCCACAATGCAGCAATAGTATAGAATTTAACACCAAAACAGCTAATAATTGCATATGTACTCATTTTATTATGGGCAGGTGGCCGAGTGGTTAGAACGTTCGCTTTCTGACCATGAGACCCGAGTTCGAATCTCACCACGGTTGATTTGTCAGGAAGGAGACTTCCTGATGTTATGCGGCACCTTTGAAAAGTACCTGGAAACCCAAGCCTTGTGAGTTAAATTGGGTAGACGGAACACTTCTGGACCGTCGACAGCTGTGCTAGCACGAAGTCACAAGTCATCGTGACCGAGCGTTTGAGTGTGCTGGCCTTGTTCAGATTGTTGATTACGCTAGATAACAGGCCCACTCCCAGAAACTGTAACTAAGGTCTGATCAGCATGGTTGCAGTATAAACCACAGGTGGGCTCTGCGGGTGTTGAACAAATACAAATGTGACTGAGTGAGCGTCTGCAGTAGGGATTGGTTAGCCTCCCTAATAGACGGATATCCTCAAATACGAGTGACCAGCTGTTGTTATACTCAGTTTATACATAAAGCGTATCAGTAACATTTATACCTTGTAATGAACCTCATATCTGGAAACGTACCCCTCTAGAGAAATAGACTGTATTGAATCATCATCATTTTTCAGAGTTGTGTTCTATATTTGTTTGTGTCTCTGCTCTTTCAGGATGCATGTTGCTAAAGTTTCAATATTAAAGATAATTTCTCTCACTGCCAATATATTTCTTCTCACCTTAAAAACAAAAACACAAAATACAGTTTTTTTTTGTTGTTTCCCTTATCTTTTTTATAAATTATATATTTTTAATGAATATTACAAACGGGAAACCATAATAAATATATTTTTAATTTTGTTAAGAAAATTGTTTTTCTCAATTTAAAAAAATATTTTTTCCAAGTTTAGACAAGTACAAGATAATGTAAATAAACAAAATAATTAAAAAAAAGACTTTTTTTTCTTTTCAAAGGTATACAAATAAGATTAATGAAATTTACTAGGTTAACTTCTGTTACTATTTCTTTTAATTAATTTTGAAATGTGAGAAGTTAATTAAAATACAAACAATTCATAGTCTCTGGAAAACTTTTAACAGTATATTTTTGAGCCCCAGATATATAAAAAATAATAATTGCATTGGCTATTTAAATGGAAATATTATCCTAATATAAAGATTTACTCAAATGAAAAGTAATAAGATTTGCTTCACTCTAGTTTACCCATTTGATATTCACAGCGAGACAGTAGCATTCACCGAAGAAGGCTGGGGGCTGTCGTCCCATGTGATTAAACCCATCGGCTGTGCTGGTGTCACGTTCAAGAAATATGATCAGATTAGGTTAAATTTAATATATTAATGATGTTATTGAAATATTGGAAATGGTCAGTGGGTTAAAATTTACCTTTTAGAGTCAAAACAAGTTTTTTTTTTGTTTTTTACCCCCAAAAATTGACTTCTTTTTTCAAGTGTAACGATGGGGAATTATACATTCCGGGAGGATATTAGAATGTCTGCTGAAGAACAATACATGATTAATCGGAATTTACAAAATGTTTAATGAGAAAAACAACAACAGCAGCAGCAGCAGCAACAGCAGCAACAAGCACTTCGGCAAAATAATACGAGGCAAGACAATGTAATGCAAGACAAAGCAAAGTAACTATGATAGAGTAACAAAGTAAAAAAGTTCACTAAATAGAAATAGGGTTCACATACAAAAAGGGATACAGTCAAGTTGTTATAAATTTCTGAGGAATGAAAAAATCTGTGGGTAAGACCAAGAATCGATTATTTTTATTTATAACTTAGGGAGGGAAGGTTTTAAAATTTATTCCCTGAAATGAAAAACAACAACGAACATTGATCATGTAAATTAGTAATACTAAATTAAAACGTAAGAAAATAAATATATATATATATATATATATATATATATATATATATATATATATATATATATACTAGCAGCATGGTCGGCGTTGCCCGTGCTTGATTCAAAATCGTACGAATCATACAGCAATCGCTATCACTTGACTTAAGATATTTTTTGCTCTTCGTTGCCTTTAAAGGAGTGTACTTTTGCCGTGCTGATGTTTGCTACATGCCTTACTTCTTGCCTATCTCACACTGTGAATTTTTCTAAGCTCTATACTAAACATTAAATCTGTTACGAAAAAAGAACTAAACAAAATGAACACAAAATGATCAGCTTTAAAAAAGGACTCGTAACTGGAAAAACCGAATGAAAAAAGAATGTTAACAACATATACTTTTTCACACCGAACACAGTTCTGCGGAATCAGAATCAACGTTGAGTTTAAGCAAGCGAATGAGCCAACTGGAGTAAAGTGCCATGCAGATTGAAATTTTTCCCAATTGTGACGAATGCAGCTATAGATTTTTTGCATGCTAGCATTCTAGTTAATATTCGTGTCAGTCAGCTGTTGGCTCTCACGCTGGCCAATAGAATCTTCCTGCCTATTCGTGGCTGACAGCTATTGGCTCTCACTCTGGCCAATAGAAAATAGCCGCAAACTACATGAAAACTGCCGTAGAAGCATGAAAAATCGATTATTTCCACTATCGATGGGTGTTGGGAAATGCAATGTCGGTCTTAGCCTTCTCGCTAACTTTGAGCATGTGCATGTAAATTTGGGTGCAAATCCGTCGAAAATTGCAGCCGTGCATTCGTTACACACACACACACACACACATATATATATATATATATATATATATATATATATATATATATATATGTGTGTGTGTGTGTGTGTATTGTCATCCACCGACATATTGTTTCACTGTATCATAGTTTTTCAGTGTGGATACATGTCCAATTCTTTCAAGCCGAGATCGAAATCCGACCGATGTGGCATCAGTCAGAGACCTCACACATAGGATACCGTCGCACGACAAAGAGAAAAGGAAATGTTAATGTTTTCTATACGAAATACGCCAGTGCTCCGGAGAGCCCAATTCAGTTGAAGAGCAATGCATTAATAGCAGTATAAATGAAGAAATATTATTATAAAATTATACTATAGGTATGTGAAAAATTCTTCCTTTAATAAATTCTTAAAATATGTATGTTACTCCTACCCTGTAAAAAAAGTAATAAATAAAATTAGCTTGTCATGTTTGTTTTTTCTCGATTTGACAACGCCTAACGAGACTTTAACTATGTTCCATATTTAATCTTACATAATTCCTCCTCTGCTACTCACATAACCTATAAGTGTCTTCCTAATTCTAATCATCCCACTGAAAAGAATACAATTAGAAATAGTACGACCTTACCAGAAAGATGGCGAAGGTGTGAAACATGAAGTACTTTCATTAGTTATCGGAAAACTAGAATCGCTTTTGAAGACCATAGTACAAAATTTTGAAAGAAACAGACATTAAGAGAAGACTATTAACCTTCTAGACGACATCATACTAAGAATCATTTGGAGTCTTGAGAAAAATTGCTGCCGTTTAATCTATAAAGTTCTACCAGTTATGAATGCTTTGAATACTCAATCAATGAAGTATTCATATTAATAATAATAATTTGGTGAGTCATGAGATACAATTTAGTCTATAACTATACGCATCGATGTATAAAAACGTTGAAAAATTAAATTATCTAAAACGTTAAAGTGATTTTGGTTTGTAGCATCTTTATTCTTTACTCTTGATAATAGGAGTAAGAAATATTTACTGCTCTTACGTTAGCAGATATGACATATATTTGAGAGCAGTTTGACGAAATGCTCAATGAATTTGCCTCTTATGTACTAATCATCGTGTTATACTAGTGATAAAATATATTATCAAGAACTGAAATAAATGTACAGTAGCACGTAAAAAAGGTGACAAAATAATGCTGTACTTATAGAAGTAATACCTGTTGATATTCAGGAGTGCAATGTAAGTTTTTGCATTCGGCGCTAGGAGAGATACATACATGGAGGCATCATAATACTGAAAATAAGTCCTTCTAAATTTATGAGTCAACTTACATCCCTCATGATTAACATCCTCCCAGATTATGATACGCATGCAGATTTTTCATGTTAAATGATCAAAATCAGATTGAATAAAATCTGGAGTGTTTACATTACCTTTTTAGTCCAATTGATTTAATATTCAAAATGGAATCTCTGATTTTGGAGAAGGAGGAGAAGACATTGTCACACAGAAGGAATCTGCGTGAAATCGCTAAATAGGTTGTGATATACATGCATGCTGTCAAACCGAATGGTGATATTGGGATTGTTTTGAATAGGAAAAAGACTGGTAGACCTTCGGAATTAAATAAAAGAAAGCAAGGGAAGTTATCAGTATCCAAGTGAAATTTAACAGTTCGTCAAGTAATGGATGAAGGTAGCATTAATAGCGAACTGTCAATTCATGCGGAAGCACGGTTTTCGAGAAACCATGGATCTGCGCCCAAACGAGATATCTCCGCTCCAGGCTTGGGTAG